AGACAAATAAAAGGGCAATCCATTATGTATAGTGCTGAACATTATATATATTACTAGTTTGAAATTCATAAAAACATCTGAAACTGAGGTGTTGAACTGCATTTACCTATCTACAAATGCAAGCACAGAACTATTGTATTTTACTAGCAAGTTGCAACCATGTTAGAGACAGACTGTTTTAAGCCAATCCATAGACATGGATACCAAAAGTTGGAGCTCAATCCCATTCCCACTATAATAGAAAGTGACAGGCACCTCATCTGTCAATGCATAAAAATTATGGATACAAGTACATTTATATATATATAATCCTTACTTGGGTATGTTTCACTGATTAAAGAGCTACTCTAGACTCAATTCAAGGTACAAACCTTCAATTTGAGCTCGTGTTAAATCACACTCAATTCTTCAAACTGGGGTTAAACATTGATCGAGAAAAATGAGAGAAATTTTTATATGGTCCTGGTCACTCACAACCCGACAAGCAGACAACAAAATTGAATAAAATTAACACATTTATTTGTTTGTTGAGTTATGATTGACCGGACCACGTAATTCTGTACTACATAAAATTTCTCCAAAACAAGAGTTAGAAATCGAGTTGGTTTCAACTTGAAGAAGCCATTCACACACAAAAATCCCACTAGTTATTGTTAATTTGTTTAGCATCAATACTTGACATATACTCATGCTAGGGTTGGATTAGATTGGTTTGGCACTTGGCAAATTGTAGTTAGTTGGTTGGCACTTGGTACCTTCAAGTTAGATTTTGGACTAGATTGGGTTTGCAACTTGCAGGTTATATTTTTTATTTTTTTTTCACACAAACAAAATCCCACTAGTTATGGTTGATTTGTTTAGTATCAATACTTAGACATATACTAAGCTTACCCTTTAACTAAATAAAATACTTGACATATACTCATGCCAGGGTTGGATTAGATTGGTTTGGCACTTGCCAAATTGTAGTTAGTTGGTTGGCACTTGGTACCTTCAAGTTAGATTTTGGACTAGATTGGTTTGCAACTTGCAAGTTATATTTTTTATTGTTTTGCAAATGTCTAAAAGTGATATGAATAGAGAGGACGGCTATAAGAGCGAGGCCCATTCAAGCAGGATTCAGTCTACAAGTATACAAGAGCCCATAATTCTGCAGGAGTAGGAAGTCTACAAGTTGATTTTAGAGAGGGTAGGCTATCAAGTAGACCCAACAAAACCAAAACAATATATATGCCCTTATCATATGAACTCACATTTCATTATATACTTAGAAAACAACTCTTCCAATCAATTACTTAATTTTACTTGGATTATTGTAGTAAATTGATTCCATGTTTAAAATAGTACATTATCCAAAGCTAAGTCACATAGAATGTGAGGGAAAGCGAAAGTACGAAAGCGGGAAAACGTCAAAGTCTAAATTTTATTAAAACGGAAACGTTTTGAGAGCACAGGTATATTATGTTTAAATAAAATTATATAAGGTATTGTAAATCTCCAAGTTCTAAAACCAAAATTGTACTATTGCAATTAAAACAAGACTTAAAATAGTGTATTTCTAACCATGGACAAACAAATTATATCGACAAAACATAGAGATTCAATCACACATCAACCAACCAACACACATAACAATTTAACACAATATTTTGTGTGCCTCACTCAATTCTCTAGGGCAAGAGAGAATAAATTTCGTATAATTGTATGTCATGTCCTCGTCAGGGCCGGCTCGAGCCTTAGGTGAGTTAGGTGATTGCCTAAGGCCCAGCTAATAAAAAGGCCCTGTAATTTTTTATTTCAGTATATATTATAACTTTTCTAAAATAATTATAGTATTTTTTTTTAATTATTAAACTTCAGCATATAGAGAAATTTGACAGTTGACCTAAAAAAATTTCCATTTTTTATTTTTTTTTGCGGGCCCCCAAATTTTTTTTTCTTTATACATTATAACTTACCTAAATATTTTATTTTCTTATATCATTAAATCTCAACAAATACAAAATTTAATAGTGTGCGCAAAATATTTCTATCCTTGTATTATCTTCTTTTCGTTTTTTTTTTCTCTCTCTCTCTCGTCCTCATTACATCAGCATATATACACATATTAAAATTAAATATTAAATATATATTTAAGTGAAAATTGGTGAAACTTTCTAAATTTTTCTAAGAAGCCTATTAATTTTTATTTTCTTTTCTTTTTTTTTTTTATTCCTCGCATATTTTTTCTCCTCTATCATTATAATTTTTTTTTTTTTATCATCTTCTCCATAATTACAATTTACAATCTCACAATCTTACTTCAGAAGAATATTTTGAATATACTTATATTCAATTAAAGAATTTATTGGAGCATTAGACCAAATTATTCGAAATCAGTTTTTATTATTCTATAACTTAAATTAGTTTATAATTTTATTAATTTTTGTTATCATAAAATTATATATTTTGTTTATAATTTTCATTTATATTGTTAAATATGACTATTAAAAAGTACAGAGTCAATTAATTAATGATAAAATTAGAGTTTGGAAAAATTTTAATAATAGATTTAAAAATCATTAAACAAATAATTAAATAAATAATTAGTTGATATAAATATATGAATAAATTTAATTAAAAAATAATTATTATTTTTTTTTTCGCCTAAGACCTCATATTGTATTAAGCACCCCTGGTCCTCGTATCCTCTACAGATTCTGCACAATGCTATGTAGGAGATGAATGTGATCATGATTAAGGGTCCTTGTAAGCTTTTCCTTTAAATAACAAAGGCTTAGAAGGGCTTCATTAGTCGTTGAATTCATTAGATAATAATAGCAATGGTGATAATAATTGAAGTCACAAGAAAGACAGTGATTGGGGAGAGAGATGACAAAGAGAGTGACGAGTAAGGGGGGCTTCTTTTCTGAACCTGCGTGCCACAGACAAATACTTATATATATATATATATATATATATATATGCTCACGTTAGCCCATAAAGTTACAAGAACCCCCACTCCTCTAAAATGTCCAATTTCTTGTCAACAACAGTACCACTTCGCTTTTTACTGCACAATTCTCAATGCATTTACTCATAGCATAGGACAACATGTCAATCTCAAAAAATTACTGTATGTCACCAAAAAAGAAAAAAACACAGTGATTGGGGAGAGAAATGACAAACAGAGGGCGGGGTCTCGAACTCTCGGTTAATAACAAATTGCTATGTCACCAAAAATAATAATAGTAATAATAATTTAATAATAAATAAATAAATAAAATCAACAAATCTAATTAGGTGACAATTTATTTGACACATCTAATTAGGTGACAAATTTGTTCACATTTAATTACTTGACAACTTTTTATTTATTTGTAATAATTTTTCATTAAACTCTTGTACTCTCATCCTCCTCGGGTCCTTAGCCCTATCACTATCATTTTCTTAATCTCATTGTCAAAGAGTATAAAGGGTGCACAAAGAATTGATGGAACTGTTAAGAACCCAAACTGTAGAATAATTATATATGTTATATTTTTTATTTTATAAATAATAATATATATGCCTATTAGTGCCTACAAAGATATATATATATAATAATAATAATAATAATAAATGTATGTTTTCATGTACAATATTATATATCAAAATGCACTATGAAAGAATTTTGAGTTATTAATTTATTATTATTATTATTTTGAAAAAAAAATTGGAACCGTGGAATTGGTTAGAAACCGAAACTAGAACTATTCCCAATGGTTCCTAAAAATTGGAACCGAAATCGAAACTGTTGGTATCGAGACTAGAGCCAGAATCGTTCTCAACGGTTCCTAAAAATTAAAACTGGAATAGGAACCGTTGGGAATGATTCTGGTTCCGTAAAAAAATCTGAGGAGCCAAACCGTGTGCACCCTTAGAAAGTATAACTTCTGATACCTTTGATTTTTGTTGTGTATTAAATATTTTATTTCTCACTAATCACAACAACAAAACCTCCCTTTCTTAAGTTTAAGTAGGGGTAGCAGTTCGTTTTTGTGGGTCATATTTGTGTTGTGTCGATGTAAGGGTATTATACTTAATTGGTAATTTCTTAAATAAGAAAGAAGATCAGTATAATAAATTACAAATATCAAATAGATGAATCTAATTTAACTTTGTTTTTCTAATATTTGGCTGCGAAAGAACAAGGGAGGGAAAAAAGAAAAAAGAAAAAAGAGAGGTGTTCTTTGTAACGAGTCCTTGTCTGCTATGATAGAGAGAGGTCTAGAGAAATTCTAAAGAAAACTGGATATAATAATAAATGTGATAATAATTGATAGAAACATTTTAAGATAAAAGAGAGTATTTTCTCTCTCTGATCTTGTTGGATTTTATCCATAAGAAAAAAAATTACAAAGAAATTTAAAAATGAATTTTGATTGAACTGAACATGGCATGTGGTGGTTTAAGATCATCTAAAAATTTGTAAGTGAGGCCTTACTTGAAATTCATTTTTTTTAAAAAAAAGGTACATCCATCAACGATAATGCATCCAGAGAGGCGTTACTTGAAATGCATCAGCATCAGCGATGATGCAGGCTATAAGGAATGATTATTGTGTGTGGAGACGTAGTCTCACCACATTATATGAATGCAAAGTGATGCAAACTTTCACTTAATTTACCCAGAAATATTTTAATGACATAATATTCAATTATTTGAATTGAATGTCATATGTATTGATATAAGTCACTAAATACGTATAATATTTTTTATATATAAAAATAATATAATTAGTTGATAACACTGATAACTTGATATTAATAGTTTAGAAAAGTTTTTCTCGAAATAATATTATTATTATTATTATTTTGCTTACATGTTCATTTCTGATTGGTCAAGAGCATCTATAACTTTCTCCTCCTATTTTTCTTTTTATCTCACTTGAAAACATAAAATCCCTCCTCTCATTCATTTCAATTTTCCATCATAGGGCCTATGAAACGTAACATTAATGTCCCATTCATGTAGTGGGATTCACCAATCTTAAGACCCTGTTTGTTCACCCCCTATTTTCTCAAAAGCTAAATCTACCAAAGATCCCGTTTTTGGCGGGGAGATGCCCTGCTTTTCTAGTCCCACCACACCCCTGACCAACAAATACCTCTCTCTCTCTCTCTCTCTCTCTCTCTATCTCTCTCTCTAGGTTCATAATTTCAGATGACTGCAAAAACAACCCACCATCTTTGGCTTCATTCGTGTATGCTCTCTCCTCTCCTGACACTCATATGTCCTCTCCAAAAGTACTTTTTCACTAAAACCCTAAAACTTCTGCTAAATCCAACCCACCCTCCATTTTTAGTGCTCTGTTATTACCCAACTCCACTTTATCAGCTCATTCTCTCACATCACACCAAAACATTTATCACCATAGCCTCCATTTCAACAAAACCCAGTCCTCTCCATTGTCGGGTTCATCAAAAACCAACTTTTTCTTCAATGTGATTCAAAATTTTCCCATTTTTAGCAAAACCCAGTTCCTAAAATCCAAGTTTGGCAGTGAATCAGAGATGGATTGTGCTGTTTTCTTCAATTTTATCCAAAATTTCCCATTTTTAGCGAAAACCCAGTAACCCAAATCCGAGTTTGGCAGAGAAACAGAAATGGGTTGTGCTGCTTCCAGGTCGAGTGACGAAGACGACGACGTCGTGTCTCTGTGTAGAGAGAGAAAGCGTTTGATGAAGTCAGCTGTGGAGCTTCGATACAAGCTCGCTGATGCTTACTGTAAGTACAATCAATCGCTCCACGCAGTTGCATTGGCCATAAGGTTGTTCGTAGCTCGTCATTCCTCTCCATCTTCACCGTTTCTCATCACCTTCCCTTCACGCTCTGAACCAAAGAACGAAACCCTAGTCTCCAACCCCATGTACCTTCAACAGAGACCCTCTGAGTCCAAGACCCATGAAGCCGTTCCATGTAAGTCCCCTGTTAATAGGGTTTCTTCTCACTCGTCAAATCTAGAGAAAGAAAATCTAGAGAGAGAAGAGGATGATAATGAGGATGAAGGAGGAGAGGTTTGTGAGCATTTTTATGGCGGTGAGGACCCACCAATGCCATCACCAGAGTTTGATTTTGGGTGGGATTTTTTTAATCCGTTTGATGGGGTGAAAACAGAGGTGGTCAATGGGTTTAGTCAAAGCTCTGATGATGATCTGAGGGCTGTGAGGGAGGCAGAGGGGATACCAGAGTTGGAGGAGGAGGATGAAGAGAGAGAAAGTTCTGGAGAGAGAAAGGCTGTAATGGAGGATGATGGAGAGAGAAAGGCTGTAATGGAGGATGATGGTGATGTGGGACATGAGGAAGAAGCGAGAACAACAGTGGGTGATGCTAAGTTGAGCCAGGGGGAACACAAGGGACTTAAAGTGATTGATACTCCTACAAGTGGGAGAGAACTGTTGGAGGCACTGAAAGATGTGGAGGACCATTTTATTAGGGCTTATGATTCTGGTGTGGAGATTTCTAAGATGCTAGAGACGAATGTGGTTCATCTTCAGCCTGATTTGGAGGAAATTAAAGGTGGGGTTCTCTTTCTTTTTGCTTTTCATTTCACTTTTGATTTTCATATCTTGCCTGCTTTTTATTTCACTTTCGATTTTAGTCTTTAGACCATCCAATGAATTTGCTTTTGTCTGATTCTGGCACTCGATTTATTTATGATTTTTGGGATAATTTTGTTTGATTGTTTGTTTGTTTCTATGGAAAGAGAACCAAGAAAACAATGGGTCCATTATGATTGAAAAGGGCTATATGCTAATAATTTTGTGCAAAATGGGATTAATTGGGGTTATGTGCATTGTAATTCGTAGGAAGTAGAATCCAAAAAAAAAATGTTAGCTGGAGAGCTCATATATTCTTATCCAGCAAGTGGAGGTTCCCAATTTCATTTCGACCTAATTTTCTGTGAAAGCCAAATTAAAGATCTTCATTTTTCTTGTAGATTCCTCCTCTTATCTTCGTTAGTAATAGTCTCCAACTTATCTGATGTGTTGATTAGTGTACTTGTCTAAAGTTAACTATCAATTGTTTTGCAAATAGTTGAGAGTCCTTGTCTGCAGTTGACTATGTTGCACATATACATATTATTCTTATATAATAACTGGCAATTTGTTTAGTGGATGATATATATATATATATTGGCTGCATCGACAGCCCCAAGTGTGTGAGATAAAGGACTGTGAATGCAGCCATTTTAGCTAAGTGAACATCAGTCTTATTAATTTATTCATTATTCACTCCGTTTGGTAACAGAGAGCTCAAGTAAACTCACGCAATCAATCACGTGGAGGAGGTCCACTTCATTGCGATCTTCGTCATGCAAGAGCTTTCTCGCATCGTATATATATATATATATATATATATATATATATTGGCTGCATCGACAGCCCCAAGTGTGTGAGATAAAGGACTGTGAATGCAGCCATTTTAGCTAAGTGAACATCAGTCTTATTAATTTATTCATTATTCACTCCGTTTGGTAACAGAGAGCTCAAGTAAACTCACGCAATCAATCACGTGGAGGAGGTCCACTTCATTGCGATCTTCGTCATGCAAGAGCTTTCTCGCATCTGCCTCCAAAAGTTCTTCAACATGGACAGAATTCGAAAGCAATCTTTTTGATAAATATGGAGGAATGGAATCAGGGAGTCATTCGTTGACGCTAGGAAGATTACATGCTTGGGAGAAGAAGCTCTATGAAGAGGTGAAGGTAACATATCAACTTATCATCGTTTTGCTTTCATTTTATCGTCATGACTTGTTCCTACCTTGTACCTATCCCGCACTTCTTTATTATTCTACTCTTCCTATCCAACACTTCATTAGTATTCTAGTCTTCTAAAAGGACTATTTAAAACTAAAAGTCAGTTGATGGAATAAATGTTATGCCTGTTTTTTTCTTTGTAGTTTATCAGCAGTAACATCTTATGGGGAATTTGTCATATCTTATACAAGTAAACCACGGAAAAATATTGGGTACCCCGGGGTACCCTACTATATATTACCCCTAGCCTGTGGATACTATTTTCTTTGATAATAGGAAATAACTACTCACCGTTGGGCAGCGTACTACATTGTTGTTACCGTCGGGGTACCCAATATTTTTCTTGTAAATCACAGCTAATTACTTCTGTTCTTGTTGTTAGATTTTTATATGATAATATAGCTTACGCCCAACTTCTTGTCCTCTCTCTCTATCATGTATTTGTCTCCTAGTTGTTTTCAATGATGTTTTTTTGTACATTCGTATGAATCGATTCCCCTATAAAACTGAAGATGTAGTTTATATAATTGTAATTAATGCAGTACAACAAAATAACATTTTTCAGGGGAAGAACACAAATAAAAAAATTTAGTGATGTTGAGTTGGTTTTCAGAAGCTATGATGACAGCAACATATGGTGGACAAGGATTCAAGGAATATGTGTTGAAACAGGGAGGACAATTCTTTTTTACCTTTTTTTTTCTTTCTTTAACTTGCACTAAATTCTGAACAAGTACTTCTCTAAAGAAGCATAATACATCATGTTTCATTTAATGGTAAATGTTGCAATCTCCACATAGGTCTCGACAAAGTCTTAAGATCATGTATGGAGCTGATGCCTGCCTAGTGCCGGAAGGTCAATCCTCTTCATTAAATCCTACCTGAGTTTTGTTCCTAAGCTTGTTATCTGGAAAAGGTTGCCACAATCATTCTTGTGTTTCTATATTACAAAAATGTTGGTGTAAACATGCAAATAATTCTCAATGACCGAATGTGGTTGGTATAAAATAGTTGAGGGTAATGGAAAATTTCACACTGTTATGTTACAAATTGACCTAACAAAAGTTGTAACTGTTTGGGAAAAAAATGTGGCTTTTTACATACCTTTCACCACAAATGTTTCTATATGCGTTGAATGTACTCATTTACACAAATTTTGAAGTCGGATAAATGTTTGTGGATTTAGATTTGCAACATTATAATTGTAACTTTTTGCTGAGGCAAATGACTGCAACACGTTTGATTTATTGTTTAAGTATGATATCACTGATATGTTCATTGCTAGCCTATATTCTGTAGGGTAGATCTTCTATCACTGCAAACACTTTAATAATGGGATTCAGAATCTTCATTGCTGTTCTTTTTAACATTTTTAATAACCATGCATTCAGACTGGAGAGCAAACTAGGAAAATTTATGAACAAAAATGCTCACAGTTGAGGATCCGGGAAGCTGGGAGGGAGGGCAATGATTCTAAGGATAAAATCAGAGCTGAAGTGAGAGATCTACATTCCAGAATCATGGTTGCAATACGAAGTGCTGAATCAATCTCAAAAAGAATTCACAAACTAAGAGATGAAGAGTTGCAGCCACAACTTATTGAGTTGCTACACGGGTAAGAAAACATATGATTTGTTGGAATGATTCGGCAAAGTCTGAAGTTTCAAATTTGTTTGTGTATTTAACTCCCAATCTCTTACCCATCCGTGCAGTCTGATGAGAACTTGGAAAATAATGCTGGAGTCGCATAAAACCCAAAACCGAACCATGTTTGAAGTGAAAATTTTCACCTGTCCAGAATATGGTAAATTCTGCAGTGACTCTCACCGTCTTGCCACTCTTCAACTCGAGGCAGAACTTCAGAATTGGCGTGCTTGTTTTGCTGGATTTGTTTCTGCTCAAAAAGCATATGTGGAAGTTCTCAACGGATGGTTATCCAAGTTTATTATTCCAGAAGTTGAAGTTTGCTCCAAGAGTAGGACTTCTATCCCACCATTTCAAATCAATGGGCCACCAATGCTTGTGATTTGTCGTGATTGGTTATCTTCTTTGGAGAATTTGCCTTTTGATTCAGTAATGTATTCGATGAAAAGCTTCGGGAAGGATATTCAGGTTTTGTGGGCTCAGCAAGGAGAAGAGCAGCAACAGAAGAGGAAGGTCGATGGACTTACAAAAGAACTTGACAAGAGGGTTCTCGAGTTGAAGAGGGCGGAGAGCAAAATTCTTGAGTCGAATTTTTCTGAACGAATGACCGAAGCAGATATGCGACATCGGGTTGAGTACTTGGCTGAAAGGAAAAGTGCGTTGGAGGCATTCAGGAAGAGGCTTGATACTGAGAAGGCAAAACATCATGACACCATGCAAGAGACTCAACAAATTACTTTAAACGGATTTCAGACAGGATTTTCCTCAGTTTTCGAGTCATTGATGGAGTTTTCAATGGCCTCTATGATGATGTATGCTGACCTTGTGGGATACTACAAAAATCCTAAGGCGGGAGATGAGAATGGTGTCCATACATCCATAGAAGGGTCGGGCTGTTAATAGTAAGCCCTAGCAGGTGTTGGAAATATATTTTCAAATTATTTTTTGAAATGTTATATATATGTCGGTGTTCAAATATGAAAAGGTGGCCTCTCTGAATCACTCTTTGGGTGTTCTCTATTAATCTTAGGTATTCTCTATCATGCATATCTCAGTGTTCTGGATTGTAGACTTGTAGTGAATAGTGCAACGTTCAACTACAACAAGAGGAATTTCACTAAAAAGAAAGCTTAGGTGCCTGGAGCCTTTCAGATTGCTGTCAGAACAACAAGATGAATACGGATAATCGAAAGGTGTTTATTGATCTCGGATTTTTTTGGATGCCATTCAAGAAGAGGCTTTGATTAGACCAGATTTTCCTCAGTTTTCGAGTCCCCAAGAGAGTTTTCAATGGCCTCTATGAAGAGGTATGCTGAACTTATGGTATCCTCTAAAAGTGCTAAGGTGGAAGATGAGAAAGGTGACTATACATGGAAGGGTCAGGGCAATTGTATGTTTAGGGGTCAAAGCAGCTTGCTGGGATATATATATATATATATATATATGGTAGGATCTTGTAAGCAAGCAAGAGGGCTCAATGTTTATTATGAACAAATATATAATGCTTGCCTCCAAATTTTGTCAAAGAAACTGAATGACTCTGATTCAGTACTGTCCCTAGCCCAAAATTGGCAAGGGAGTTTGGGTTGTAATGTAAATCTTGCTGTAAGTATTTCATTTTGTGCTGCTATGTAATAGAATTGAGTATTGCAGTATTTGGCGAGTTTGCAGAATCAAAAACTTCTCCAGAACCCACAGTGCAGAGATCCAATGGTGCAGAATGTGCCACATCATCTCATATAAGAACAAAAAGTCCATTTTCACCATTATAAGTGAAAATTCAAAGTAAATGTGGTGAAAAAGTGCGCCTTGGAGTATACAGGAAAAAGTTTACCGGAGAGAGTTCGAGTTCCCACTGGATATACTAGATCGGATCCGAGTTAATGTAAAATGACATATTAGGGAGGGGAGGAAATAATATCAGCTTCCTCATTTGAATGAATGCAGTCCAATTATAAATCTATCTTTTAGAATTTTCCATACTAATATGATGATTATTACTAATTAATCAGAAGGAGATATTCCAGAAAATGTAGATATCAAGCTATGGCCTATGGGCTGCATATTAGATATAGTTTAATGGGACCAAGGAAGTGTCACCAGGTCAGTATAATGCCAAAATTATCGCAATAATATCATAGATGAAAATGAATGTGACTAGTCATGTTAAGCTCTGGAATATGTTAGGACTGACCTTATATTGTGTTTCAGTAGTCCCAAGGAAATATATATATATATATATATATATATATATATACACATATTTTTTAATCATCATTGCTAGAAATTTTACTTCTGGTTCACCATTATTGTGGGTCCTTTCTAATTTTGTGTTAAGCTTGGGAATATGTTAGGACTGACCTTATATTGTGTTTCAGTAGTCCCAAGGAAATATATATATATATATTAATCATCATTGCTAGAAATTTTACTTCTGGTTCATCACTATTGTGGGTCCTTTCTAATTTTGCGGCTCATAAATTCACTCACTCTGCAACGACATTACTGGGGGTAGTCGGGGAATCCAACATTTTTTAGTAGAGATTTTTTAAAGATATTTTTATTATATATTGGTAAGATTGAATTTTTATGTTTATTCGTGTTAAAAGACAAAGAAATATTTTGTAATTAGTACACTGGCTTAATCAAATTAATGTCAAAACAATAATTTGAAATGTTATAAAAAATATACATTCAGTTTTTAAATGAAATATATATTTTGGACATCCAAAATAAAAAAGATGGACAATCTATTAATGTGGATGAAGTAACATTAATCTTCAGAATCAAAATCCTCTCCATGAAGAGAAACCAGGGTTTCATAGTGTGAAATAGTTTGAAGTTTCACTTGTTTGGAATTTGTTACTACTTACAGGTGAATTTACTGACAATAGTAATGAACTTCACACACTGAATAAAATTATAGATTTTTTCAAAGTAAGTTTAGAATTCCTGCTAAAATTGAAAATGTCAAAAAGAAAATAAAAGGATCAAGGCTTACCATCTGGACTAGTTGAACAAAATCATTTAAATTCAAAAAGTTAGACAATTATATCCAGTTACTCATCAATCAACATTTCAAAAGTTCAATCATTTCAAAAAAAAAAAAATTCCTAAAAAAATTGATGATTATTCCTCGTAAAAATCCTAGTATAGTTCAAAATTATACTGTAATAAATGATTCTTTTTTTTTTTTCTTTTTTTTTTTTTCCCCTAAATCTGTAATAAATGATTCAATAAGAAAAACTGTAGAGAGTCCCAAAAGGTAGGTGATATTATTGCCTTCTTGGATGTACAACTTTAAACTAAATGCTGTACCAAAGGTTGGATGTTCTTGGTCTTCATGACCATTTAATGTGGGAGCTCCAATGCAATGGATTGCAGGAAGCTTTAAATGTTGTATATTAACTACTTAGACAATGTTAGGGTTTTAATGAATGATAAGATCGACCTTTATGTTTGCTATCTGACACACTAAATATCAACCCACTGGTTTTATTAGTCTCAGGTTTGCATTACATGAAAATTACTTTGAATGATCCTAGGAATCATATACTACTTACATGATTGATTATTGCATAAGTGTTTCTTTGATGGTTTGAGTTTATTTGTCTGGAGGTAATTGCACCAAGTTTGCATTCTAGCCATTGATGCATTACTCAGCACCAAATCACATGGATGAGGGCGAGCCTTGGCGCAACAGTAAGGTTGTTCTATTCTAACCTGGAGGTTAGGAGTTCGAAACACAGAGATAAGGTTACATACATTTAACCATTCCCAAGACGGGAACCTCAGTGAAACCATGTTCCTTGATCTGTTAGTCCTTGAACAAAAGTACAGTTTCAATGAAATTCACTTCAATGATCTCTCTGTCATTTAAGATTTTTTCGAAAGTTCAGGTACCCGAACACGCACGCGCCTACAATATTGTCCCTAATAGGCTCAAACACTCTTACCTTCTCTAGAGTAATGCCCATTGGTGCCTATTATCAGAAATGTAGCCTTTGGAGAATCCAAACTCATAAATAGAGTTCCATGGACAAGTCCCTGATGAAATTCACTTAAATGCAAAAGTACAGTTTCAATGAAATTCACTTAAATGATCTCTCTGTCATTTAAGATTTTTTCGAAAGTTCAGGTACACGAACACGCACGCGCCTACAATATTGTCCCTATAGGCTTAAACACTCTACCTTCTCTAGAGTAATGCCCATTGGTGCCTAATATCAGAAATGTAGCCTTTGGAGAATCCAAACTCATAAATAGAGTTCCATGGATAAGTCCCTGATGAGTGATGAAATGCTAAAGTGGTGTTCTTTAGTAACATTATGCAGAATTTAATGCATTTATTGGTAGTTGGAACCTTATCCTAGATCTTCTTCATGCTCAGAACAATCAAAGCCCACCAAGTCTCAGAGATATAGGTTCACAATAATGATTGAAATGTTGTTACTTAAGGAAAAAATAAAAAAATAAAAGGGAGCATCTCCGTTCTTACGAAAATGATTTTTAAACCGATTTCCTAAACCGAATTGGATACCCTTTAGGAATTTTTATCCCTTTTATGCAATGAATAGACCCACGCTTCAGTTTATCCACTGCATCAAATGGATAAAATCCTCCTTTTGCTACACAAATCACAAATAGGCTTGGAAAATAGGTCCAAATAGCACTTGATCATGTACAAGTCTAGAATCAATGGGTCTTAATTTAAGGCAACCAATCTTCAGTGTCCTCATTCTGACATATATAGCTTGATCACAAGCTATGTCTGTCCTTACTTTTAATGCAAACCACCAACTAGTTCTGCATATGCACAAAGTGGTCCCAAGAGTTCATAATTCTTTTATGCAGTAAGTAGCTGAGCACTGTGATTGTAAAAAGGATCAACAGATTAAGAGTTCCAATGATAGACTACCACAAGTAGAAAGGCCAGAATTAAGGAAATAATGGGAGGGTAAATCTCAGCAGTCATCTTGAGGGAAAACTCCATCAAATGGAGATTACTGAGGACACAAAAAAGTTTTAGATGGAAAAGTTAAATAAAGGGAATATTGTGAGTGCGCGCGAAAAAGGGATTAGGTACTTCAGTTATGTCAAGTGGAACATCTAAGCTGTCTGCAGCTAAAAGTAAATCTTTTTCTAAGAGATGAGGAGGTATAAGAGGTAGAATCCTAGATAATCACTATGGCCATAGTAATTAGAGCATGTAACTCTACTAAACTGATGATTCAATGACACTGAGATTAAAGGGCTTGCATGGGAATGAGATTTAAATGTATCCTCCACAAAGTTTTAAAGAGTAAATTTTCTATTCCTTAAAAGCATGGCTAATGTTGCGAGGTTATTGCCGGTACTTCATAACCATATTCAATCATCAGCAGTGGCGGAGCCAGAAATCTGATCCATCGTGGGCCAATTTCAGAAAATACAAGTGAAAAAATACTCTTCAAACAAAACAAGTTTAATTTTTTTCCCCTAACAAATAACTCATAGACCAACTTTTGTCCCCATCACATTTGCACCACACAACGACTCTCCCAATCGATTTCACTGCACAAATAAATTGATTTTCCTACCACAAATAACAGTTCGTTTCGATTTTAAGGCCTAATCATGTAATCTCATAATTGAAAAATAAATTTTATTTAAGGGACATATGCCCTCATTGGGCCTAAGGTAGCTCTTCTGCCCTTGATCACCGGAATACATGAGGAGAGAAAAAAAAAATGGAAGAAGAAACGAAAATAAGACGATCAATGAAAAAACTAAAACAGCTCAAAATTTTATACAGAATGCCCAATTCATGATATGTCACTCTCCAACTAATTACATAAGGCAGTTGTCAAGGAACATGGTATAACTAATGTGTGTGTAAAAAGAACAAAATAGAGAAACCCTAGTATTAGCAATCAAAGAACTCTAATTATCATGTAATATACAACAAAAAAAAAAAACAAGCACATTACAGATCTCTTCTGCATAACGGGCAAGAACCGTGCCTCACCAACCACTTATCAATGCAAGGTAGGTGAAACATGTGATGGCAATGAGGCAAACTCCTAACAGTCTCTCCAAGCTGAAAGTCCTGCATATATTACACAATAAACAATCGATTTAATGAGTCTCTTGCACAATTAATTTCACTTGTGGATGTCTACGAATTAAAGAAATAATATTTGGAAGAAAAATAATTAATGCCTGTACCTGAAGGCACACTGAGCAAGAGACTCTCTCCCCAGTAGCATCTAAGCTGTTAGTGTTAGTAATCTTGATCTTTGGGATCTTCTCAACTGAATCTCCCGGCATCCCCTTAGGCCCCCCAGTGTCAAAGATATTGGAGACATCTTCAAAGCTTGTTTCCACGGCACCCATCTGATTAAACACATCGAAACTGTGAGAAAATGGAAAATGGAATTCGGCATTGCTAGTATTTAATTTAAACAGATGCTACTGGAAAATGGTACCTGACTTTGCACTGCACTTAACATGGCAGGACCAATCCGTTCACGAACAAGTCTACCGCTTAGAAGACTTGCAATAACATCAATCTGCACAATTCAAATGATATCACAAATTGAGTACATTTTAAGCTTGAAGATAGGATTCACTAAGTTGACAATTGATGGATCAAAGTGATGTAGAATTCGGAATTAATGTGCTTCTAAACTAAAATTGAAACATATCATACATAAATGAGGTCTAAATTGCTCACCAAGTAAAGGAGACACCCAATTCCGGATTCATCTGATTGCCAGAGAACAAGCGAAGATTCGAAGACCTCAATGGAGAAAACAGCACCAGAGATGGCTCCAACTGCAGCTCCTCTAACGAAACCACTCTCGGTTTCTTGGCCTATCAGAGCTCCGGTCAAGGCTCCTAATAAGGTGCCAACTGCAGAGAACAAGGTCAATTCTTTCATTAGCTTCAACCTCGAGAAAAAAACATATTGTTACATGAAAAGCAAAAATTCATGAATTTCAAGTCGTAAGAATCAAAAAATATCTCCCCTGATAAATGTAACAAGAACAGCAAAATGACAATAACATCCCCCAATTTGTTCATATGCCCAACTCTCTCTGTCAACATAATTCAAATCCAATAAAACTAGAACTTACCCAACAACCCCCTTATATATTTGAACCTCAACAAATCATTTATTTTCCAGAAAACTTGAATATAATGTGTCAAAATTGGGTAACATCAACAATTATAGAACCCCAACACACACACACACAAAATGCTGGCTGGTAAGAATAAATGATTTAAGAGAAACCCAAAAAAACCCAATTCTAAATTCTGCAAACTCATATCAGAGAACATATATACAGATCAGGAATCAATAAACCCAAATAATTAAATATAAAATGAGAAAATAAATATCAATTTGAACCAGAAACCAGAGGAATTAAACAAGAATGATAATAATACACACCTAATGCGAAGAAGAAGGTGAAGATGGCAGAGACAACATTCCCAATAATCGCAGAAACCGCGAAGCTGAAATAGTCTTTAACCTTATCGACCAAATTCCCAAACGAAAATGAAGATGTTGATGATGATGAAGATGAAGGCAGAGATTGAGATGGGTATGCATAGAACTCCATAGATTTTAACAAAGTTTAAAAAACTCTCTCAAGGGTTGTGTTTTGATCCAAAGATTGGCTTTGTTTCAAAGAGACGATCATACAAACACATATAACACACAAACACACACACCTATATATATAAATGTATTATGTACTCCTATAAGATTTTAAAGGGCTGAATAATATGTATGCTTAGTCGTGAAGAGAAGGTGAAAGGAAAGTACATAAACCAACTCGCATTTATAGCTCTCAATTGAATTGAATAATCTTTTCTCAAAGACGAGAGAGAGAGAACAATACAAATCTTATTTTGATGAATTGAGTTTCTCAGCGTCTAAGTTGTCCACATACACGCGTTTTCTCTCTCTACTGTAGAGATTCTAGAGGGAGAGGACTATAGAGTGAAATTACCAAAAGGACAAAAAATGTAGAAAAAGAATAAAGAAATGAAAAACACGATCCTATGTACTATGTTGATATTTTGCCTTGGTGGGCCCAACAAAAATTGATTGGGGGTACAGATGGTCTCTCAGGGATTACCTGAAATGCTGTTTTTTATTGGTTGGGTTTAGATCAAATGGTCAAGTAATCACGATTCACGACTGTGATCGTTACGTTACGTGGACCACGTGCATGTGTCTTGCGTGAACATCCTTACTTTTATAAATAAAAATTACTTATGTTTTTTTTTTAACGCTCCTTAATATCATGAGTAATATTATTATTATTATTATTAGAGTAAGAAAGTTACGGGCTAGCAATTACTAGTTGTTAGAGGGAAGGGTGAAGATGTAAGTCTCGTTTCAGACACCAGAAGAAATCCGACTACTTAGATCAGGTGTTCGTTAGGAGTAGAGGTTGTTCTTGGTGAGCAGAGATCGGTCTACTTCATTCTTCTCACCATGCCTACACACACACAAATGCTAGACTTTAATTTGGAGGCTACATTTGTCATTAATCCAATAGTTCATTCTAGGCTTAATCTAAAACCTACACTTGTCAACAATCCAAGCAGTGTATATTCCTTGGCTGTGGTCAAGATGAGTTTGGGTACAAGCTTTATGATCCAATTAAGAAGAAAATTATGAGAAACAGAGATTTCGAGCCCTAAGTCTTGTGTAATCTAAACCCTTATATTTCTATTTTTGGGGATTTATATATATTGTTGCGATTAGTGTTCTAGCCTTGTGAATTTAATGAATCTTGGTATATTTCTATGATTTCTATGGTTTGATTCTTTCTCTTAATTCTCTAGTTGCCTTCTTGGTCTGCCTACGCAAAGGAATCGTCGGAGATCTCCCTTGAGGTTTCGTCAATACATGCATGCTCAATCCAACTGATGAGTGAGCGCCAAATCAGAGTTTTGTTTGGACAAAGGTGTCCAAATCTGTATATCTCAAAAAAAAAAAAAAAAAGTCAAAATGGTTCAAAATGCATTTATAAAAGTTCTAAACTCAAATAAATACCTCAAGTCACTCTTGGAGCCCTCGTGGCATGCGAAACGAGGCACGAAAAATGATTTCTTAAAAATCATAATGCATAAATGTACTTAACGACATTAAAAACATGCGAATGAGATTATTAGGTAGTCCCAGTGCACCACCTCATCTATGGTCCCAGATAATCCTAGCCATCCATCTGTCTAGAAAAATTACACCTCATCACGAGATTTGTATATCAATGTGCAATATTTAGGAGCGACAAAACACATATTAGGATTGAAAATCGACACAGTTGCGAGTGAAAATAAAAAAACCTGAATGGAGAAAAATCATTCCATATATACTTATTTAAATTGATAAATTATAATTTTACTCTTTTAAAATTAGATCTAAGAAGTCACTTTATTTCAATTTCTTTTAACACCAACCATATTATAAGGAACACGGTCTTGACATTTGTCGAAGAATTATGGTGTCTTAATATAATCTTGAAATGATCAAGTATTATATTGATATTCAAAAAAGTAAGTCAGTGGTCCTGCGCATCCCAACCAAAAGTTCTATGTTGTAGCTTTCAAAAAATTGCACCGCTGGCTATAATGCTATGCATTAAATATAATTAAAATAAGGATAATAATTAAAAGAGAAAAGTGCAAAAAATCCCCCAAAACTATGGAAGTTTTGCAACTAACCCCCTGAACTACAAAAAAAACTCTCCCGAACTTTCACTTTTTTGCAATTTGCCCACTCAAGCCATCGGAAAAGATATAAGATAGTTTTATCCTTATTCAAAACTACGTTATTTTTATCTCCCTCTTTCTATTTTTGTGTGTGTGTATATATTATAAAATATATATATATATATACACACACACTATATCTCTGTGCGGTGTCCATGGCAATTGGAAGAAGTAAAAGAACCACAAAAAGACACAGAGAGGAGAGGGAGCACATCGATCTCGCTGGTCATTTATGGTGCCACCTCGTTCATGTCGTCGTTGACCGGCGACACCGACGGCAAGCAGACATATATATGAGGGGGCAATTGTGAAATTTTTAGTAATTTTAGTAGGGGCGATTGTGGAATTGTATAGGCATATATATTAAAATACGAAAAATAATAAGGTATAATGGGTAAAAAAAATTATTTTAGTAGGAGCAATTACTCCCTGACAATGAAAGAAGAAACCCCCAAAAATAAAAGAAATGAGGAACATAACTGTCCCTCATTTCTTGTACCTCTATAACTAAAAAAAAAAAAAAAAATAGGTAAAAAATTAATTAAATGTGAATTAACTAAACTGCCCCCCATTTTTTTTATATTTTGGGATTTCTTCTTTCATCATGGATCCATTAGTAGTAATTGCCCCTACTAAAATAATTTTTTTAGCATTAGGTTTTGAAATTCTTAGAGCATCTCCAGCGGTATGTTAAAATAATCTTTTGTGTAAAATATACACTTCCACTTATGAAGTGTAAATTTTTTCTATCTCTAGCAGTTTGTTAAAATACATTGCCGCGGTGTAAAAGGGTTGTGTAAAATACACGACCTTTTTATATGCCAGATCAACATATTTCCTTTCTCATCCCTCTGTCTCGTTCCATTAAAGAATCAACCATATATTAAATAAGTTTGTAAAAGTTATGTAGCTTCCTGACATGACACATAGTTGATTGTTATTGGGAGATATATTTTTACACAAAAGGTTTAAAATAACTGTTGGAGCTAAAATTAAATAATACGAAATTTTTGTGTAAATTCATCATGACACATCAAATTTACAAAAAAAAAAATATATATACACAACGGTTGGATATACTCTTATATATGACAACATTAGAGTTTGACTTCTTTACAACGGTTATACCTAAATTTCCTTTCTTATCATGTTATAAATCACAATCCAAATGGCGAATAGCTCGGCTGGTACAAACCTACCTCTCTATTCGAGTCTTAGTGGAGTTATGATTGTCTGTGTTTGCTTAACCTATCAACAAAAAAAATAAAAAAATAAAACCACTAAAAATAATATTTTCAATTAGACCTTACGCAAATTAACAAGTATAATCCCAACTTATTGAGTTTCAATAATCACATTACAATCCTATTTATTTTATTTTATTTTTAAAAAGTAGAATCACAAAAATAACTTTTTATTTATTTAAACTTTAGAGCATCTTTAATCTGATTTGTCATGATAGATTTATATAAAAAATTTAGATTATTTATTTTTAGTTTCCATGGTTGTTTTATACATTTTGTGTAAAAATATATATTCCAATAACAACCAATCATGTGTCATACCAGGACTTACATAACTTTTACAACCTTACTTAATATATGGTTGATTTGTTAATGGAATGAGAAAGAGGGAGGAGAAAGGAAATACGGTAATGTAACTGTGTAAAAATGTTGTGTAAAATACACAATAATTTTACATTTTGGTATCGTGGTAGTGTGTCTTAACGAGTAACAAAAAATTATTGTGTAAAATGCACAACAATTTTACATCTTGATGACGTGGTAGCGTATCTAAACAAATTGCTGGAGATAAAAAAAATTACATATAATATGTGCAGTGTATATTTTAAACAAAAGTATATTTTAACAAATTACTGGAGATGATCTTACGTCGAGAGAGAATGTATTAAAATAATTAAGAAAACCTAAAACCACCTCAAAAACAATTTTATTTTATTTTTTATTTTTATTTTTATTTTTATTATTATTTTTTGAAATGTTATAGGCAACGGCATAATTCGACTAATGGTGGAGTGTCGCTTTATCAGGCTTATTGAGAAAACTCCATCTGTGCTTTTTTGTTCTCACTCTGTCAGTTGTCACTAAAAGTAAAATGACTATATAGGACACATTATATATATATATATATATATATATATATATATATATATATATCCAATCAGACCATGGCCACCTCCACACTTAAATTGATTGCCACCCCCATAGACTTAACGTAAAAGCAAACATTCACAACCTCTAACTCACAATTGGATTCATTAAATGTATTCCATTAAATAATGTTATTTTCTCAATCCGTGTTCTTTGATTTTTGCTAATATTAAAACAGGTCTTATTCATCAATGATAATAACTAAATTTAATAAATATTGAAACAAAAGAGGATTATATCTAAAATTGTAATGGTAAATCTTTTCAAATCCAATTACGGCATGAAATCACCTTTTTTAATTTATTTTTGTAATTTTGATTTTTGACTTTTGCTAATATTAAAACAGGTCTTATTCATCAATGATAATAACGAAATTTAATAAATATTGAAACAAAAGAAGATTATATCTAAAATTGTAGCAGTAAATCTTTTCAAATCCAATTACGGCATGAAATTACCTTTTTTAATTTATTTTTTTAACTTTGATTTTTGTTTTATTTATGTATTTATAAACGAAAAATCAACCCATCTGTAAGTAGCTTTGAATTCAACGATAGTTTGTAAACTCTGGAATGCATATGGTCGCCCTCAAAGGCTAACGTGAGTCTCGACTCTATTGAAGTCAATGCTTCCCACTTAGTGAGTCTCAAACCATAAACTAAAAAAAAAGAAAATATATTATACATTAGAGTTATGTTTGTTTTGATGTAAATTTTTTTTTTATATTTATTTTTTAATGTTCGACAAAAATTTAGATCGAGATTAAGGTCGAATCTATCAAATGCGACAATTTTAGATATGGTACCAAGCTGAGCAACAAACACATAAAAGGATTTGATAATGCTCTTTCATTTATTCGGTCATATGAATCATATTATGAAAAATAATTGTCTACATCACTTGGGTGTAGAAAAGTATGAAACATTTTACGTACATAAATACAAAATAAATGTCAATTCTCTGCATACTGAAAAGGCTGAAAACAAAATGATACCAAATCGTTTACTAAAATAATGTCTAATTCTCCTTTGTTGCATTGACTCCCTCCTTTCTAGTTAATAAAAACAGCAATTAGTGTAAATTCAAAGAGGAGTGCTAAACATAATTAGCAAACCAATCGCACATATGATTAGTTGAAAATTTTAATTATAGAAGTTATAATTAATGCTTCTCTGATTGCTTCTTCCCTTTTTTCTTTTTTTTTTCTTTTCAATTCTTTCATTTTCTATATATATATATATATATATATATATAATAGTTAACCATTCTGTGAATAGATTGGAAACCATACTTATCTTATTTCATATATTAACTAAAACTTAAATTTTATAATATTACTTCAATTAAAACTCAATCTATACCGTTATTTCAATTAAATTACATAAAATCCAATAAAAAGTCCATCAAGGTGGAATATATATATATATATGTATATCTAAGACAAGTGAACAATAAAAGAAAGAAAGTAAATAATGAAGTATAGCCATATATATCCAATCAGGAAAGAAAGATTAAAAAAAGAAGACAATTGTTAAAAGTAAAGAAAAAAAATAAAATTAAATATATGTAACAAATGAAAGAAGGAAGGTTATTAGGTATAAAGAAAGAAGAAATAATTTAAAAGGGTAATTTGGCTTTAAAGTTGAAGTTTTAAAATTTCAAAATATTAGGAAAGACACATTAATTACATCTTATTTTTTTTAACCAATTAGATGTATGACTGTGAATGCACAGTCGCTTGCGCGATTGTGTTTAGCACTTCTCAAATTTAAAACCATTAATAATAGTTGAACAATGTAATTATTAATGTAATTAATACAGTAATAGTGGAACAATGTAAGTTCAGATTTTCATTTTCAATTTCAATTTCATTTTATTAGTTGAAAAAATCTATTAGTTGTCCCTTTTTAAAATTAATTAGCTAGGATGCATGAAATGAAATGATTTCATTTTCAATTTCAATTTCATTTTCATTCCTATTTACTGCATATAAATTGTGTGGCCAGTATTTTTTTACGAAGATTATCGATTTCATTTTCGTGCTAAGTATAAACTATAAAATTCTAATTACTGCATATAAATCTTGTGGTCGGTGTTGTTTGATAAATAATTAGATTCAAGATATATATAGTTGAAATTTTAATTAAAATTTAATTAGATTCAAGATACATATAGTTGAAACCCTTTTTAAAGTCACTCTTTAATACTTCCTCCTTTCCAAAATGTTTTTTTTTTTTTTTTTGAGAATCTAACTCTTTAGGAGTGTAATTTTTAATTCTTTTATTATAGTGGTAAAAAATAAAATTTTAAATATATCTTTTTAAAGAATCAATTCAAAACTCCATTAGGAAAAAACTTTATTGCACACATTGTATCGGGTAATGGACATATCCTAACCGTCTTGTAATATATATCCTGCATGTATTACACATGCCGTTTTGGATGCGCAAAGTTTTTTTACTCTCTTAGGCTTTGTTTGGCTGGAAGGAGAGAAAATAAGTGGAGAGAAAATATGAAAGAAAGAACAAACTTCATTTGTTTGGTAGAGAGGAAACAAGGAAAGAAAGGATAATAGGAGGAATAAATTATCCTTCATCCTTTGTGCTTTCTTCAGTAGGAAAGAAGAAAATTGGATAAAAGTGAGGGAAGAAGAGATGAATGAGATATTCCTAAAGAAGAGATTATGTTATTCTCTCTTTTAGTTCGGTTGGATGAAAGAAAATAAAAGAAATTGAGAATTTTCTTTGATCGATAAAAAGAAATTGAAATTTTAAAGTTGTTTTTACTATTAAACTCATCATTTACTTTATTTGTGAGATTTATTAAATATTTATGAAGGATGATGATATAGTAATTTAAAACTTTTGTAATAGGCCCATTTGTCTTCTTTCTTTTCTTTGCCCATATTTGAACGGATCAAAATTTATGAAAGATGAAGGATGACTCATCTATCCTATTATCTTTTCTTTTTTTATATCATGTCTATCGAACTAAGGAAATTTGTTCCTTCCTTCCTAGCACAAAATATTATAAATTTTCATCCATCCAATTCCCAAATATCGGTGAAAGAAAGGAGGGAAAACAAGTGTTGCTATAATGCTATTATGAAAGTTTTGAATTATACCAACGGCCAGTGGCCTAGCAGTATCAGACCTTTGAGGGTTCAAGTCTCCATGGAAGCATGTGTGTGTGAGTATCAACTATGGAAAAAAAAAAAAAAAAAAAGTTTTGAATTATAATACTAATATAATTTATACAACTTTTAAATTACAATATTATCCATCATAAATAACAATATTATAGATAATGACGAGTATAATGGTAAAAACAATTTAAAACTCTCTTTTTCTTTCAAAAAGATAAAAATACTAGTGTAGTATCCTGCCAGGCACACTTTGGGCTGGGTCATGCTTTAATACCATTTGTAACGACCTACTCCACTACATAATATGATATTGTTCACTTTGGACCTGAGCTCGCATTTTTACTCTTGAACTTTTACTCCAACATGCCTAATACCAATTGAAGTAGCACACCTAAATATAAACACTTTACCTTTTTCTTACCTAGGCGATGTGAGATTATATACTTATAAAGTATCCTACCAGTGTCTTGCATGTGCCAACGATACACCCACCCACAAGTTCATCACATAATTTCTCCACCATCATATCTTCTCTTCCTTCGAACAAAGCATTAGATGCACTTAGGCGGGGCCGAAATCGAAACCTCTTGAATGCAACAAAGGGGGAAAATTTATGGGCTAAATACCTTCCAGGAGAGTACCCTTTTTCTATTAAGTCTTAACGACGAAGTAACCAATAACTATGGGCGGTTGTTAGGTACCCATCCGTTTTCCTTTACGTGTTTAGGCATCATTTTCATGGGGCTTACCTAAAATAGCTGAATCAAATATTCAACAACGACACACAAAACATGCTAAATACAGGCCCATGCATACAATCCTTGTACCATGAGAAATCAGTGTGTGGAATGCCATTATAACCATATTATATGAGGTCTAGCGCCCTGCTTGATAGAGAGTCTAACTTCTCGATCTAGTGTACTCATGTTTAAGTAAAAAAAAAAAAAAAAAAAAAAAAAAAAAAAAAAAAAAGAATTCTATAAAAAAAATCTTAACATCAATGCATAAACCTATCAAAGAACAGCGCTAGCAAAAGTATATATCGTATTTACCTCTAATAAAAAATAAAATAAAAAAAGTATATATTTAACTTATATAAAAAAAACGTAAATATTTAACTTATTGGGGGAAAAATGTATATATTTCTTATTTAAGGGTTGTATCATATTCCCATGAAAACACGACATGAAGAAAATTTGAAACTTTGAGGGGTTTGTTGACTTTTTAGTTTTTTTTAGACTTCGGCATCAACGTGCATTGTGCTGAAACGGATTTTTTAAAGAAGGGGATGGACCGTGTAAATTGTCAATTTTGATCGGCTATAGGTTAACTACATCTTCCATTTTTCCCAATATATATATAAAGGTCCAACTCATCTAGAAAAATTTGAATATCAAAAAAAAAGTGTTGACCAAATTTCATATTATTTGGTCATCATTTTTTTAAGTTCTATCTGGACTGCTCTAGAAGGAAAACTTAACTGACTAATTTATTATTATTTTTTTCCTTTTTTGGTAGGCCGTAGGTAAGCTAAACAAAGATGAAATACCATAATAATCTCATGTCTGTAGATATTGTAATAATATGTCAAACCATTGTGTGATTTGTGTTGAAAGTTCGCACCAACAAAACAATATATAATAACACAAATTAATATTCAGCCACGTTTACGAGATATTTCCATAGATTTAATAATGTACTAAAATGTGTGTGTGACTGTGTGTTCTGGGTTGATTGAATATGCTTGAAGCCTACAAATCCATCTTATCTATAGGAGGATACATAAATAAATACTACAAAATATGACCTATATATCAACATAATGTAGAACAAGAATTTACTAGTAAAAAACAAGTAAAATTTTCAAGCATCATGAAATGATAAAGACTATGAAACATACTGTATAATATACATGAAGAGACTTGCAATTTTAGGGTTTGACCCTTCACTCTCATTTTATTTTGAAAAGAAAAATGGATATTGGACAAAATATTTTGGATCATTTCGATATATTTCAACTGTTTCAGTATAATGGATGAGTTTCTCCTTTTTCTTTTTTTCGGGTAATGTACAAAAATATAAATTAGAGAAGCCAAAATTGTACATCAAAACTAATGGCACGAAAAGAAGGTTGATACATCACAAGTCTTGATTCTGGATTACCCGGAGGAGTTCCTGCTGCAATCTAACATTTTGGCTATAAATAATCCGAGAGTTGGCGAACGAAAACTCTTTTTTCAAACCTGCAAATGGAAAGGAAAACTAAAATCATCAATGCAAATCGAAAACTTTCATGGATCGATAATGCACTAACTATTCATCTCAAAGAAGCATATTCCCATGAACAAAACAAAGATGGGAAACACAGGGTTTGAAAATAGATATTGAGGGACGATTAGTTGCCATATTCACCGTGTGTCTGCCCAGACCGGACATTTAGTCCTTCTAAATTGCACAATCTAACGTTGTTGTTCTCGTAAAATTTCAACTCATACACAATATCACTAATTGAGCATTAATAATAAAATTGGAATTATCTATGCATATTTAAATCAAAAATAATGTATTGCCTTTCCTACTAGAATCCTAATTGATGAACATCAACCTTTCATCTATGATAATCAATCTTCTCAAGAATTACTCGTAATTTGATTTCCTTGGCTTCGAAATCACAAACTTCGAGCTTCTTGTGCTCATAAACTTCTTATCACCGTCAACAATGACAATAAATAAAAAAAATTAAATAAAAAATCTTCATATTTCTTTCACAAACAAATATCTCTTCTACACTTTTATAATGATACAAGGCCTCATCTTCATCTTGTGATAAGCTCATAATATTCTTAACCTTGATCATGTACACTTTCATAAGTGTGAACATCAACTGCAAACTTTAAATTCCGCTACATAAAGGACACTTATTACACTTTCATAGGCATGAACGTCAACTGCAAACTTCAAACTAAAACACACCAACAAATTTTGGTAGTTCTTTATTGAAAACCATCTCAATAAGAACCTGCCCACAAATAGATTAAACATGAGCCCCACCGTCAGTGCTATACCTACTGTCTACGCACTTCCATGTTGAATTCTGCTCTCCGCAACCAACGCACCCAACAAGGCTGCCACCATTCCATCATTTGTCATCAGAGGTAAGTGAAGGCTCTTGTAACAACTCATCTAACAAAAGCCAAAGAATAGCAAAGGAGAAACCCATTTAACCCGAATCCCAGAATCAACTAGGGCTCTTGAATGCGAAATAAGAAAGAGCTTCCAAATTTTATTTAAGTAGATAATTAAAAACTATAAATTTTCTTTCTTCCATGAGAAGCCTATTTTATAGGCCCTATAAAACCTAAAATACAACTACTGAGTAACAAAAATAATCCTAATTTATATAGTAACCTACAAAAACTTGATTTCAACTGTTGGAAACCTAAAATAGCAAAAAATGAAATAAAAACTTATAGTTTTGAAAAGTAATATTTACAAAAACAAAAGAAATCAAAAAATTAAAATTTAGCCACATATACTATCCTACATCACTAATTAAATAAAATTTAGCCGCATATATACATCACTGCCCTCACATCAAGGCCGGCCTTCCTTAGCACCTTGTCACCCCCACCAAGTTTGAGAGAGGTCTTGCCATGCAGGGGCATGCATGAGCATACAAGGCACTACATGGCACTCTTGGGAGTTAGATTATAGAGCCTTTCACAATTGTGCAAAGATTGTAGAGAAACGTGGAGAGCTCTATAGGAGAGCTTTGTAGAGATTGTAAACATCTTATATATTTTAGTGATTAGTTCTAGAGAGATGGTCTTAGTCATTTGTTGTGATGCATCCTGCCAATCCATTAAAGATGTGGATGCCTGCAATTAGGTGAGGGGTATTATTTTTAAGCGACAAGGACCAAGTGTGAGTGCAAAGCACAAGTGAGTGATGGAGCCCAAGAGAGTATGAGTGCTAACCTTGTGAACTTGTACATAATCCTTTGGTTGGTAATACAACTATTCTTCCTCTTGTCAACTGTCAACCAAGTGTGCTTGAGTGTGTGCAAACCAAGTGCGGGTGAAAGCCACCACATCACTTGATGGGAGGCACGAACTACCGTGGGAGTAGGGCCGATAAAGTTTGGCTAGAGCATTGGGGAAACTCTAGGCCCATCACAACCAACTTATTACTTAGACATTTCATGCTCCACAACTATCCACCAGTGCGGATAAAACCTCCTGTCCTAAGCATTTCATCCTCTCCCTCATAGTACAACAAACCATATAATTTCATAAATCCCTCTCACGTCTCTGGAAAAAACCCACCTCTACTCTTCATTGACCCTTGACCCTCCCTTATAGTTCAACAAACTATATAATTTCATAAATCCCTCTCACGTCTCTGGAAAAAAACCCACCTGTACTTCTCACTGACCCTTGACCCTTCCTCCTATCAGCATCCCCTAGCAATGACATGCTTCATGTTCAAGTTTATTTGGCACGAGCACGGGAACTATATGTGTGTGTGTGTGTATATGTACACATAATAATTAGTAGACAAATATAATCATAGTCTACAAAAAGATTCAACATGACAAGGACATGCAACATACCAAGGTGTATCACCAAAGTCTCAACTAAAATTTTAAAATATTAGAAATATTTATTTTACATTCTAGTTATGAAAACTAAAGAAGAGTAAGTGGACATGGGTCAAATGAGTCTTTGAGAAATGTTTGTGAGCAACATGGAGTTATGGACATGGTAGCTCATTTATTGAACAGTTGGTAATTGTAAAATATTGTGACATGTTGACAGATTATTTTTACAGTTCAGGCCAAGTTTAAAAAATAAATAAAATGAAGAAATTACATGTTGTTCCCATACCTAGATCAATGAACTCAAATACGTGATCCACAACCATCAAGCTCCAGATACATTTACAAATATCATGTATAGGGGGCTCAGCATAAGTAATTCATCATTGGTTGAATGATTGCAGCAAATAAAATTGTAACATTCCCCAAATTAAAATGAAAGAAATCCCAAAAAATAAAATTAAAAAAAAAAAAATTTTATGCATAGACATATTTGTTAATATTATTCACCAAAATGTCTGAGATAGTGAACCATTGGCCTCAGCGTCAAACTCCATATTTTAATCTTTATGCATTGTGCATTGCTTAATATATATGTCTTAATCACCATAGCTTTTACAGATAAGAATCAAGCAATCATCCGATAATTAACCAATCATAATGTAGAACATCTCATTTTTAACACAAATCATAAAAGTCAGCTTTCACAATGACTTGCCAATGATCTGTCAGTCTCATTGTACGTCAATGTATCCCAATATAGATGCAAGTCAGTATAGTCCCAAAACCATAGAGCTCAATAATATAAAATTATTATAATTTTAACCATACAAGATACACATGTCAAGAAAATCAATTTTTGGAATAGCTCTTGGAAGTTATAAGTTACAGTTATAAAAGAGTTTTGCATCAATACATCCCAATATAGATGCAATTCAGCCATAGAGCTCAATTATATGACATTATTAAAAATTAGAAAACAAAATATACATGTCAAAAAATCAATTATGAAATAGCATCTATAACTAGTGTTGGTAACTAAAATCACAGAGTAATAGTCTCATCTAGGTACAGAAAATTACCTTTAGAATTGTAAATTAAATTTAATACTCAAGGAGACGCATCCATTTTGTAGATGACCACTTGTTCCCTTTAATAACAGGGCATCCACCTAAAATAAGACGAGAGAGATTCAAAACATAAATTATTCATATAAGCAAATGAACATAGGAAATGAAGACACTGTAAAAATCCCTTGGAAGACTTGAGCCAAATATACGGTCATGCCACCATCATGCATGGATATCTTTGCTAGCTAGCACCTTCAAATTATTTAAGTGTTGCATGACTCAAAAACTTGGGGCAATTGTCCCACACAACCCTTGTAAGGGAGACGCAATTAAATTATGCAACAAAACAGAATGTAAAAAGTTCCCCTTTGACAAGTCCGCTTACTCATTACTGAGACCTTACTGCACACTCTTATACAACCAATATAAAAATAAAAACCACAACTAACCATGCAAACTTGAAGGATCTAGACTTGCATCTGGGTTCATGCTCCAGAAAAGCAATGCATCACCCATCTTTGGTTTAATAGAAAGCCCTTTCTTTCCGCATTCAGATAGCTCATTCCACCAAGGCACAGAACTATAATTTCCTTTGGCAGCAGGGAATACTGTCTCACCCCCTTCTTCAACATCTGAGCTGCACCATGGTATGAGTAGTAAAAAATAATCACAAGTAGACAAAGCAATAACATTCAAAAAGAAGTGGGTAACCATGTCACTTACAGGTACATTAGGACTGTAGCAATGCGTTGACCTCCTCTCTTAGTATTAACCTCATCACTAAAGTAGTCATAGTGAGGTTCATACTTTTGGCCCACTTCATAGTGGAGAATTTGAAGCCCTTCACCATTCTCTGAAAATTACACCACAGACTCAAATAAGAACACGATGTATCATAACAAAAAAAAAAAAAAAAAAAAAAAAAAATCAAAATTTACCTATTAAAATTAATAGATTTTAGATTCGTAATACGCAGACCAAAATATAACATAAATTAAATCATTACTGGTACTCATCTATGATCTACTTTTTAAGGCTAATAATATCTGAAAAGTCCAATAAGAGTAACACCAAGTGTGCGATGGCTACCTTCTAACACTCAATGGTCATTAAGACCTCTATTGCTACCAATTGGTAATGTTATGAAGAAATAGATTTGTTATATTAATGGTTTGTAAATTTGTAATTTGAGTGATGTCTCCTCTACTCTCTCCCTCAAAACTCTTCCAACTAAATTCACGGCAAAAGTTCCATTTAGGGATTGCATGCATCAACTTAAATCAGCAGATAATGCAAGAGCAGTACTTCTTGATGGTTTTTATCACATATGACTCACATTGGACCCACTATTTAAAATATATATTTTGACAATAAAAGCAATCCAGACCCATTAGTTGAGCTATTACCCTCCAAAATCTTAAATCACATGAATCTGAATCAAAATGAGAAAAGATAAATTATAAATTGGGTGGTCAAAGGCTTAACAGATGAATGCACTTCCGAAAATCAAAAATGAGCCTTCTACCCTCTTCATTCAAACTATTTCCCACTCTAGAGAAAATGTGCAGAGTTACTTCTCAGTTCTTTCTTAAACTAGTGTAGAAATAACTCAACCCTCCAACAGGAAATCAATATTTATAGCACGCTTCTAAGCAGCGATCAATTCACCTCTAAGGAACTCAAAATAAATTGTAGAGGGTTGAGATTAGGATAAGAGCTAGCCAAAAAGTTGTTATTAAACAGTGATAGATGTTTGAGGCTTTTAAATATCTGTTTTCGTATAGTTGCATGGTCACTAATGCCTTATTATATGATTTCTCTTCTACATATGCCAATTTATAAAGAGTGAAATATAATCTCATAGAAAAATGAAAATAAACTCAGAAAGCATAGCTAAGATCTAAGGGAATGATGAGGAGTTCCTCAACCACATACCTACAGGTACAAATGTGAAATCTGCAATCCTTTTCTCGATGTTTGTGATTATTTTATCATGTCCCCGTGCTAAAAATGTTCCAGAGCTAGTACGCACCCTGCATGTAAATGATATGTCAAATTCTACAAATTAGTGCATGAAGAGGATGAAATAAAAGGAAAAGAAAGCTTCATTTCCCAAATTTAGCCTAAAAAGAAGAGAGATGGCAGGTACAAAATACACACCTACTATCTTTACTCTGGCCAGTTGCACTATCAACTACAGTAGACTTTCGCATATGAGGCTTAGCAAGATTGATCAAATGCTCACATTCATCCTTGGACTGCACGATAAAAATGAAAAGAAAATTCAGTTTTTTATTAAGTTTAAATAGACATGAAACTGAAGCCTTGCTCAAGCATGAAATAGTTTTCAACAATAAGTAGACATACATTCATACACATACTTGTACAAACTCAACTAATAACAAGTAGTACTGTGGCTAACATATAAATCAGAACTTTGTTTCAAATAATCATGATCATGAAGCATAAGAGATTAAGTAATTGTAGCAAGGCATGAATGGGAATTCTCATAGTAAATGCATGTCTGAATTTGTAAACAGTCAAGGACCTTCTCCAGATACAACCGCAATACCAGACAGTCTGCGAGGTCAATATCTTCCCATTTTACATTGTATAAGAGGCATCCTTGTTCTGACACCAACCTTCATGATTATTCAATATAAATATATTCGGGAATACATGCAATATGCCTAAACAATGTTTCCAGAGTAACTTATTTGACAATCCATGCGTTATTCCATTAGATTCGGACCAAACTGAGAAACTCAAACCAATTAAAAAAAAAAAAAAAAAAAAATCACAACATTTCATTGCAATCACACCTCACATATGCAACAATAATCACACAAAAACTTACAAATTAGTCTTTTAATATCTATATGTTGTGTCCATTCATTTTAAAATTTCAAGGTTGAAGTACTTCTTGAAACTCTGAAATGATTGAATTACTATATATATTTATAGACCAAAAAATATAATCTAGGCCAACGATTCACAGAACAAATATAAAACATTGTAATGACGAACTAATTAGATGAAAAACAGACAGATAAATTATGATAAATGAAGGCTATTGGCTCAAATTATTAAAAAAAATCATAAAATTCTTTTGCAATCACACTTCACATAAATGCAATAATCACTCATAAAATTTACAATTTAGGTATAATCTAGAGAACGATTTACAAAACAGATATAAAACATTGCAATGGCAAACAAATCAGATGAAAAACAGACCAGGAAATTATGATAAACGAACGCTCTTGGCTCCCAGGAGATCACTTCAACCCACTGAGATGATCCTTGAGATTCTCCCTCACTCCTGCACCAAATTTCCACCAAATCAAGCACACAGTGATTTGATCAAACATCGATCGAACAAATTAAGAAAAATTAAGACTCGATTTGATGAAACGTACCTTTCCATAGTCGCGCGAACGATTGAGCTGAGATCATTAGCTTTCGGAGTATCGCCGGAACTGCTCGGAATCGAGAGAATTCCGAGAGTGAGAAGGATGAGAACAAGGAAGGAGAACATGATTAGCATGGCGAAAAGAAGCGTGGAAGACGACGATTTCCGAGACGGAACTCGAGTGTGCCTTCCTTTCACCACCATTGTTGTCGCTTGAAAGCTTCGATGAACGATTCAAAACCTAAAATCAATTCTGTTTATTCGTTGATTTTTGGGGAGAGAGAGAGAGGGAGAGATTTTTCTTCTTCAGAGTCCCAGCAGATGGTGTGTTTGAGAGTGAGAGAGACGGTGGGCTTAGCATTTTATAGCGACGAAATAAAAGCAAACGTACAATTGTCTGTAACTCGACGACTATTCAAATCTATTTTATGTCAGTATTTGTATTTCGCCTTCTTTTTTTTCGGAAAATTTGTATTTCGTGTTGTGCGTGATACATTGTTAGTAACCCGTGGGCCTCAATAATCCAACTAAAGATTCGAAAGAGGTCTTTTTATTCATATCGGACTTGAACCAGAATATAAATTCGTATTGAGCCCGGATCCAAATTTGGACCTGACATCTTTACTGCATTGTGTAGTGCAGCAGAGGTATAACACTGTATTATTGTTATAGCTAATCATATACGCTTTTAAATTTGTATGGTAATCTTGAAGTACGATTTGGGTGAGCTCTAAGTGTTTTGCGAGTATGGCATGTATGAGTCCGGCACATCCAAGTTCTTCTTGCAAACCTAAATCTTATCATATGCACGGAAAATCCATCATATAAAAAAAAAAAGAGCGGAGATTATTTTTGAAAAAGGGTGGGTCTTACACACAAAGTGAAACCCTACTCCTTTTAAGGTGATCTCTACCCTCCCGACACTAAACAATTTAGTGTTTATATACAAACCAAATATATATTTTTTCTCCTCGTTTTCTTTGTAATTTTCTTCGTGTGGTTATTGAATTTTTGTTCCCTCTCAAGAGCTTTTAATAAATAAAAAGAAAATTTGTATTATTGCCACATGCAGAAAACTGTTGTAAAATAACCAAAAATATATATATATATATGTAAAAATATTGCTTAGTCAAATATTATCTCATAGGGGATAAATTTCTTATAATTCAGAGATTTTGGATAATTAATTTTAGGAACACTTCGAGAAATTGTAAAACATGTTAACCACCACCTAATAACATCTAAATTTCTTATTCTGCTTAAATATCAGTTGTTATGGCAATGTAAGTTGTGCTTGAGCTTAAATTAATTGCTTTGATCAAGACTCTTTGTATTACTAGAAATTAACAATTTCTCATTATTAAAAATTAAAAAAAAAATTATTGACCGGAGTAAAAAATAGGTGACGCTCGGGTATTGACTCATTATTACGAATGAAGTCAAGATATTAATACAGTAATGTGATGATAACAGTACAAGTTAGGCCGGAGAACATAGTTGAATGCCCTGGAGAACATAGTTGAATGCCCTTTCACCATGTGGAATGGCCTGATTCATTGAACAAACTCAATTAAGGTCTTTTGTCCACAGACAATAAAGGAGGGTCTAGTAGAAATTGCTATAGAAAAAACATGCATGTCATTCGCTAAGTTTAATTACATTAATCTCTCCCAAGATTTGCTATGATTACATATAGTGTAATTTTTCGAGAATAATGTTTCCTTGTAATTATTATAAACCGGGTTGTTTTTTTTTTTTTTTTGGGAAGAAAACTAGGTTACAAAACCTTTGATTAAAATAAATCAGATTAGTTGGTGTAAATCTATAGGACCATATTAACACTACAATGGGCGGAGTTGGGACATGTTTGGCTAAACCTTATTCCACCCTATTAAAAATTTCAACTCCATCCCTATTCCAGGACGGGTTTATAATTGGTATATCATCCCTACCTCTGCTCCGTGTACTCCATTTAATTGCGGGGTGGGAGCAAAGCAAGTTATGCCACTTTTATTATTTAATAAATAAAAAAACTAGCCTAATATGCTAAAATTAGGTTCATCAATAAGTTGATCCAACTTTTAAATTACTAAATAGTAAATACTATTAATATATTAACTAACACTTTCAACAAAACAACAAGGATTTTAAAAATATTAAATATATATAAATATAATTTTTTTAAAGGTACATATATGATCGGGAAAGGGGGCGGACCCGCTTCGCCCCAAACCCACCTCGGGTTTTTAATTATTTTATCATACCCGTCCCGAAAGGGCTACCAAATCCACCTTATTAGGGACAGGGCAGGATGAAAACCGACCAGGTCAGAGAAAATTGCCATTCCTTTTCCTATTATCAAGGAAAATGGAAATTTTTTTTTTTTTTGGGTACTCACTTTCAAGATGCTACTCAAAATCTCCTTTGTGCAAAAGACTTGGAGGTTCAAGTCCTCTTCAAACCATAATATTGCTATATGGATCCGAGGTTTAAGTTCATACACTCAACCATGTCAGTCCAGAAAAGGGGCTGCAAGTATTATAGTATCTCAATCCCATTGTATCTCGATACATACATTTGGAACACACCTTAACACAGATTATGTTAATTTTACACCAAATAAAGTTTTTAACTGTCTCAAGTACTAAAATCAGTTAGCATCTCCTTTCTCGTACCGCTTAATAAACTCAGCGTATTGTAATTAGTTCGCTCGATGGGTGGATTTTACGTCATTTTGCTGTTGTTTTGTTAGATCTACTCCTGTTTGGCTTGTTTATGGCTAGATGGGGTGGATCTGTTGCTTTGGCTCCGGCTATATCTCTGATATATGTCGGGTTTTGGTGTTTCCGCCTTTTTGTGCGGGGTTTGGGTGGTTTTTTTCTAGTTGACGCACTTTGTGGATGCAGTCTTGGAGCTGTTATCTTGATGATGGCTTGACTTTTGGGTCACTCCCGTTGCTGTTCTTCTCTCTCTGGGTGGTCTGCTGGTTTGCTTTGGTTTGTTTCTCAACAAATCGGAGGCCTATTCTTCAGTTTTTCTTTTATTGCTTTTTTGATTTGTTTGCCTTTGTACGGGGTTTATGGCGATGTTTGTGGAGGCCATATGGCTATTTTTCTTGCTAGGATAAAAATAAAATAAAATACTTCAATCAGTTGAAGCTGCTCAAATCAATCTTGGCGTTTGGGTGTATCCATGAACTCGATTATTGGCTGGTTTAAATAGGCACACCGGATCTTTGTCCACCTGCACTTGTTAATTGAAGAACCTCTGTTGATAAGTTGCCATCATCATTATCATTAAAGTACAATTTGTTTATCTTGGAAAAAGCTCGCCAATGTATAAAACTTATGCCGGAGGCACACATTTTTGAACAAACTCAATTAAAGTCTTTGTCCACAGACAATAATGGAGGATCAAGTAAAATTTGCTATAGAAAGAACAAGCATGTCATTGACGAAAATCGGAAGAGAAAAAGAAGGAGAAGTTTCTTGCACAAATCTACCTCCAATCAATGCAGCAGGTTACACCATAGTACATACACTCAACCATGTCAGCCCACAAAAGGGGCTGCAACTATTATAGTAACCCAATCCTATTCTGAGAGACCATTTCAAAGCATGATGACAAGATAAATCATACATACATTTGAAACACACCTATCAACAGATAAAGTTTTACACCAAATAAAGTTTTAACAGTGTCAAGTATTTCGATCGGTTGAAGCTGCTCGAATCAATTAAAAAATGCCAGCTGAGGTAGTCGGTGGGGCAGCAGGCTTATAACCACAAAAATTGGGAATGTAAGTGGAGGCTCGGCGTTTGGGTGTATCCATGGACTCGATCGCTGGCTGGTTTAAATAGGCATACCTGCTCTTTGTCCACCTGCACATGTTAGTTGAAGAACCTCTGTTAATAAGTTGGCATCAACATTATCATCAAAAGTACAACTTGAACATCTTGGAATAAATCAAAACTCTGCAAATGCATGCCATGCCTATGGTATTGTTTGTCAGTGTGTCATATTAGCCCACTCCACAGCGTAGTTGGGTAAACAAGCAGTGGATACATCTTTGTATCACACTACACACAACAAACTGTGATTGTATAACTCAACATGGTTCCAAAAAAAAAAAAAAAACAGAGTTTTCCTGAGTTCTTTCAATAATCCATATCTTGTCCTTTCACTCCAATGTACCAACTGAAAGATGTGGTATATCACTACTGCACCGAAGCTTGTCTTAATTACGTGTTATTATTTCCTGAAAGATCATCTGGAACATATATATGTGTGTGTATATACGTAAAGAGAGAGACAAAAAAACATCTTGCAGACTCGGATGATTCACCTTCATGTCATCTAAAACTAAAAATTCATCCCAAGAATTGTTAATTAAAAATTTAGCTTACCAGTCCTTTATCCCCACACGCAACTTCTCATCATTTTTGCTGGAATTATAGTCGTCGTCATCATCTTCTAAGGATTCCTCAAAGCGATTATACTCATCCTCCTATACACCATAGAGTAACAAGTTAGTCAAATGTAAATGAATTCAAGAAGTATAAAGTGTTAGAGCTTAGTATGAGATTATTTAGAAGGTCTCATCCATCAAATACATAAGATGGCCTGCACTGGCATGTGTGCACCTGCTCCCCACATTGAGTAGAAGGAGGATATCATAGGATCACAAGACCGTCATATTTAAAGACATACTATAAGTAAAGGTTTGGTCTACATTATTGTCATAAACTCTCTTTAGATTCTCTCCTCCCAATAACCAAATTTGGCTTCTATATCTACCAAATGCGAAATGATATCAGCAAAAGAATGTGCCTGCATTCCTTGATGTTAGGAAGAACGTCACCGTTTGTGAGCGAGTTGAAAATAATTACAGGATTCACCCTTACTTGGTTATCACGGGAACATGAAGGAAATATGGGTGAAAGAAATAGATAGATTTTACTTTATATGTCATTTCCTTTTTCATTTTCAGGTTTCCCCTTCATTATGCGAAATTGAATTATATTTAACCAAAACAAAAAAAATATACTCTTCCGCAAAATACACAAACCAAAAATATAATCTAAATATCTCCTCTGTGATAATTTCTTGTTGTGAAGCTAGAGGACTAACTGGTTGGAATGGGGTAGCTTTACCTGTTTTGAATTGCCAAGGTTCATTAGATACTTCCTAAATCCTGCAACTATCGTGCAGGCAGTGCACACCAGACCAGTACAAAACTAAATTTGGCACAGTTTTGTGCATATAGACAAAAACAAATACACACACAAATGAAGAGATAAGATTAGTAATGAACATGAGGGAAAAACTAGGAATAGCACCTATTAATGATAAAATTAGAGAAAAGGGTTGTTTGCTTAGAAGGTAAACGAAAAAAAGGCGACTA